GGGTTGTCATACAACGAGAGGTTGAAATCTTTCAAATTGTTTTCTCTTGAAAAAAGAAAGAAGAGTTAGAGGGATCTGATTGAGGTGTTTAAGATTGTAAAGGGAATTGATAGTGTTGATGTATAATATTTTTTTTATATTTATCAATGAGAATAGTAGGACCAGGGGACACAAATATAAATTTTGGCAAGGTAGGAGTCATCTTCAGCTAGGACAGTTTTATTTTTCTACCAGGATGGTTGGCCTTTGGAATGGGTTAAAAAAAATATTTCTGTAATCATTTTAATTTACTTTTGAGGATGGAACAGCCAAGATGGACCAATAGGTCCCATGTTGTCCCAAAATATTATGTTATGTTATGTTATATAAGGCTTTATCAAGAATATTTGAACATAACACAAAAATATAACCAAGTCAAAATTCTAATCACAGACCACTTACAGAGGATGACCAAATATACAAAAAAATATTGTTTTTGTGAAGTACTAGAAAAACAGATAAACATTTTTTTATGTACACATTGTTACTATAACATAATTCATTTTTAGAAAACATGTTAATAAAACATTTATTCAGATTTAATTTTCAGAAGAAAAATTAGTCAGCACTTATCATCATATGATGGACAGTCAGCTATTTCTGTGTAAATGTTAAATAGCTGTAGCATAGTACAACACTATATTTCCACTGCACACATTTTATGCATAACAGTTTTTTTAACAGTCTGTACAGCTGTATTGATGCACTTTGATAAAATACTAATATAACTGCTTTGTTAGAATAAACTCTCCACAGAAAGAGAAAATTCTATTATTTTTATTTTCTTGTGCCCTAGCAATGTTATTTGTCTCTCTGAAACATTCCTAATCCAGTAACAGATTGCCCTTTCACTAAAGTTAGTTGTCTGAATCCTTTTCTCAACAAATGATCTATAAGCAAAACATCAGTTTTAGGCAAGGCTGCATTCTTCTTGAACTGATAGCGTACCTGTGATGCTGCTCCTGGTTTATCCTGAACGGATCTCAAGAATTCTTTATAAAGCCGAAGAACTTCCAGTTGCAACTTGCTGTGGCGTACCATCTACAATACCAAGATACACTAATTACTCACATGCAATATATGTAGTTAAGTCCATAAATTAACTGCTTCTTTTATCTCTTGTACAAGATAATCTTCTAAAAGTGCTTTCAAACTTTATTGCATTGACAGTGTTTATATCCATTAACAAATTATGTTTCAAAAGCTATATATATTAAGTCAGTATAACCAAAACAAATGTAAAATATCTTAAAGTTAAAACAAGTTAGTTGAAATATGACTACTTGCCTATTTAAACCATCATATCTCCAAAAATATATATTCAAATATTGCAATATATATAAACCACAGAGTAGGCAAAAAAAGGTAATTACTAACGTCTAACCCGAATTACTAATATGGACGCCTACGTTAAGACCAAAACAAACCACTTTATGGGAGGCCAAATTACTAAATACAGTATATCTAGAGTCAAAATATCTAAAATTTTCCTTGAAAACTCTTCAGTAATACAGTTGCTATAGTAACAACTGCTTCCTGATCTGGTATCATAATACCTATGGTCCCTAGTAATTACACAGGTAACAAGATTTCCTATTTACTAAACCACCTCTTTCACCTTACATGAATATCAAACTCTTCTGTTTTCACAAACTATTATTTATTACCCTACAATTTTTTATTAAACTACAAACTAGTAGAGTAATTATGTAGTACAGTTATCCTTTACCATTCTTGAGGGATAGGTTCTAGAAATTGCCACGAATGCTAAAACCACAAATACCATTGGTAAAAGAGGATACATATAGGTTTCCAACACACAAAAATACAGTACCTACAGTAACCACATTTTATAATAATAAACAATGTACAGTAATACACACTAAAACAACAAGTAGAGAAATTTAGTACAGTAATGTAAAATAAATGTATCTTAAACTAAAATCCTTTTACTTAAGTTGCCTTTAATAATGATGATATAGAAGATAGCAATGATATTAACGGTGATATTGAAAATGATGATGTTTTTGGTATGGTGGATTAGTGTTCCTCTGGAGGGTCATCCAGACAGCTCACAGATGAGGAGGCAGGGCTGGCAGCAGCAGCAGAGGACTCTGAGAGGTTACACAGGTGGGCCTGCAAGGAAACATGGTGATAGGCAGCTGTTTACCTTTTTCTGTTGGTCTTTATAAATCTCCTGTTAAGGTATCATTGCAGCCTCATTTTCCCTCTTAACTTTCAGGCTGCATTCCATGGAGGGATCATATTCAAAAAAGTTTATCAGTGAGTTGTATGATGCATCTGAAGATCTCTGTTAGTGTTTGTAAATTGAAATTAGGTTTTTCTGACTCTTCCCTCTCATCATCACTGTCATTGTCAATTTTTATAAAGTTGACTTTCCTTGGCTGCCTTGAATCCTGGAGCAGTTTTCTCCTCCTCATAGAGGAATACTCTTGTTAGCATCCTCTTCCAAAACAAGGAGGTCTCATCTGCATTAAACACTTCTTTGGGCTTGTAACCATTTTCTTCAATTATCTTCAGAAGCTCCTGGGTATAATTCCACGCTGCCTTGTGATCTACTGATGCCAATTCACCAACAAACTTCAGATTACATAGTTCATACCTTACCTTAAAGTTCTCAAACCACCCATTACTAGCATTGAATGAAGTGGCACTGCAACTACCCCCTCACCACCCAATGCTTGCACAAAATGCTGGTATAAACTAAGAACCTCTTCATAGATAACCAGGCTGTTCACAAGCACTTTCTTTTGTGCCATACTTTCAACCCAAAGACTTAATGCTTTCTCCATTTTTTCTATTATTGGATTACAAATCACACAAGACACTTTTGCACTGGATGGGGCACATGCTGCAATGCTATCCCTTATATTTTTCTCTTTATGTACTGTACAGTCGACTTATTAATGCCGTACAGCCTACCCACTGGCAGCACCAAATCCACTAGCAAGTTTATCTAATAATTCAACTTTTTGATTTGAAGTCATCACTTCTTTTTTTCCTTTTACCTTTCAAAGCACTCACTTCACTTTCATTCCCTTTTTTTTTGTGACATTATTATGAGAATGTATAAACACCGTGGTCGAACAAAGAATAAGAAGACTAGAGATGCTGTGGAGCATGGCACGAGAGCATGGGATGCACAGTGCGGCACAATGCAAGCCTCGCACTAGTTTCAGGGGTGGACTGCAGCTATAAGGCAAATACTCAAAACTGCGAATGGTAAGGGATCACTCACTGTATGTGCACTTACTCTGAATACCCTAGAAGTTTTTGTGGATAAGTTTATGGACATACAAAAACCATATTCCATTTTTATTCTGTAGATGAGAAGTAACTTGTATGGATCAATTGGCTTTCTGTCATCTTGTTTTATTTGGCATGTTCTTAACTTCAGCTCAAATCTACAATAATACAGTTTAACCTTTCACTACAACATGTAGTTTTATAGTTTCAATTACCATTCGTTTTTCATTGTCTATGCTGTTTATAACAACTTCCTAATCCTCTTACATATAACTGTTGCATGCTTTCATCTTTATGTTTCTTTTGTTAGTTCAAGGATGTTTTGCAATTCTGTATAGTTTCATTAACTAGTAACTTCTAATTAGCTGTTCATCATCCCATATGGATATTATTGTTAACTTTCATGCTACACTACTAACACTAAATTCTCTTAACACTAATCTGTTGCACAAGAAAAATTTTCCGATCTATAACCACCTTTTCATAACATGTTTATAGTTTTGTATTTTTGTGGCCACACATATAATATATACATAATAGTAGTGGGATCCATAATATGCAATTGCACCACTTAAATGTCACCCACATATGTATAAAACATATTTAAAATTTTAAAACAGCCTCAAAAACTATGAAAATGTAACATTTTCAGTGAAAATTACAAAACACTTCCAAGGGGAATGCCCAAGACTCTCCCCAAGTATGGCTTTACCACTCATACTTTTTCCTCCAAAAGTAACATCCTTCATATTTTAGTCTACACCCACACTCCGTTATAGACTTCTGTCACTTCTTTTTCGAAGCCAAATTGTTTTTTTTTAAGTTCCAACAAAAATTATTCCAGACAGAATTTTGACTATCTCTCAGCTGACTAACTCACTGAGCAGTGAAATAGACTCAGTTGAGCCTACCAATAATTTTACATGCAAACTAATTAAAAATAATAATGGCTGGAGACGGGTTGAATGGGTAATGAAGAAAAACTTTAATATAAGTGTCTAGATACCTCTTCTAAGTTTCACAACAGTTCCGGTCATGTGACTTCTTTGTTCAATAC